CAGCAGGGAGCATTTAGATTATATGTTAGGAGAATCTTTGTAATCTCAAGGACAGTTTTATTAAATGGTGGAGCATACTGCAGAAATGACAGCAGAAAGAGCAAAAAACCTCTGCTGCTTCTCAGGAACTGGTGAGTCCTCAGTGTGAGCATTAATCATGTGCATTCCTGAGTCAAATCCTGTTCAATCAGGTGAAGCGTCTTAGCAGAGGGAACATCCCACAACAGCACTGTGTCTTTTAAGGGAAACTTATTACAGATGTGTTAGAAGGAGTACAAATATTCTTTTAAAATTTAGTTAAGGATTAACACTGGAAAATAAAATGTTCTGTGGAGAAGCCTGTCAGTTTTAATCTCTGGGGCAGGAAACATGCAAACTCTTGCACAAAGAACAGTGCTGGAAGGGGAGAGGGGACAGTCACTGACCTGGGGTCACTCCTCTCGCATGGTGCTGCAGCACTGCTACTGGGACTCAACATCTGCTCCAGAGCAGGCACTAACCAGTGCAAAGGTTGGTGCCTGCACCACGAGCTGGACTGCACAGGCTCTGAGAGGTTTTCTACTGCCATTACTGAGACTTTTAGTGTTTGAAGAGGCTTGAATTAATGTCCTAATAAGTAGAGAAAGAGGTCCCTATCCCTCTGCTGTCAGAAAAGGCACAATCCCTGCTGCAAAGGTGCAGAGCTGCAAGGATAGCACCTGAAGATGAGAGACACTTCCAGATTTGCATCATTTTGTCCAAAGGTGAAGGTAAGTAAGTGTCCAAGCCTTGGCATTCTTATCCAAACCCAAAAGGCTCAAGTTTGGTACTGCAAACAGTAGTGTTTTTCTTTCTCTTCCCTTCTTCTGCAATGAATCCAAGAGCATTTTTAAGTTGCAACAGGGGAGGTTCAGGTTGGATATTAAGAAAAATTTCTTTTCTTAAAAGAAGTGGTTTGGCACTGGCACAGACTGACAGAGAGGTGGGGGAGTCACCATCCCTGGAGGTGTTCAAGAGCTGTGAGGATGTGGCACTGAGGGACATGCTTGGTGGGCACGGTGGGGGTGGGCTGATAGTTGGATTAGATGATCTTAGAGGTCTTTTCCAACCTTAATGATTTTAGAATTCTATGATTTAATCTGAACAAGTGGCAAAGAAACTCTGAATTAAGAATAGAAGAAGTTATAGGAATTTGCAAACTTCCCTCCATGATATTTTTGGACCTTGGGAGCCAATCTCCTGTGTACATGAATGCTCCATTAGGAGATCACTGCCTGGTACCCTGCAGCATTCACTCAAAGTTAAAGACACAAAAACATATGTTTGCTTTACAAAGATGTAAGGGCCTCATTTTTATTTGGATAAACTTCTTTAATACTGTCTTGAAATAAATTGATTAATTTAATTTAATTTCACTTGAAGGCTACTCCTGGCTGCCCAACACTGTAAATTTATCCAATTGCATGCAATGAAAATCAGCCTTGCATTGGTTTTTGTATATGCATATGTGTATGTGCATATTTAACTGATTTTTGTATAATTCAGTTGTCATCACTCATTGTCATGAGTTCTCTGCAATACTGTTATGGCTTACCAAGGCCCTTATCGGGTTGCGGCTGCTTTGGCACATCTGTATTTCTTTGTAATACTGTAGTAAATGATAAAAATGGTTGGAAAAAGCAGGATGCTTCCAGAAAATGGGGTCTTTGCACTACCCGTATTTTCTCTGATGATGAAAAAACGGACAACCAGGCATCGGCTTGATCTTGCATGGATCCCAATCCATTAACCCCTCCCAACCTATTAATCCCTCCCAATGCCACTCTGCAGTGCTGGGACCCAAATACCTCTCTGGTGTATGAACCATTTGCTTGATCTGCAGAGAAGACAATATTCTGTGCAGTACATAGTTTCCCAATGAGTCACTCTGCCCCAAATTTAACCTCCTAGATTTTATGGATTTTTTAAAGAAGTTTCTTTACAAAATATAATAGCACAGCCAAAGCTTTCATGAAGTATTTTCCAGCTGCTTAGTGGCCAAGCCTTCTGCCTAGTGTGTATTTCAGCCTAGCATACATTTGATAATCTATGCCAGTATCCAGTGTTGGTGGTCTTAAAATTCAACAACTGAGTGGAAAACTGTTAAATGCTTGGGCCTCAGAGCATGCCTAATTAATTCTTTGCAGGGTTTTAGTCCTTTAAAAAGTGTTTAAAACATGGATTCGCTGTATCATTGAATATTGCATGCTTCTGTGGAAATAAATTGCATCAGCTTGATTCCTTTGGTAGTTCAGAGAGTTATGGCTCTGCGCTCACTTGGGAAGTTTGCAGGAGTCTTTTGAAAGTTCAGGTTAAAACAGGGAAAAGTTGCTAATGATGTGGAGTAGCTCAGTGGCAAAGGGAGAGCCCAGACTGGCACCTGGGCACAGCGATCGGCCACGCTCAGAAGCGAGCTGTAAATCTGCCTTGCTCTCACCCCTACAAAAAGAATTTGCATTCAGCGTGTGGATTTTTTTTTTTTTTAACTTTAACCAGAAAATCACGCTTGTGTTTATTTTATTTCATGACTGCTTAAAGTGATTATAACAGCTTAATCCTGGAAAGCGCTACTAACTCCTGAGAAGCAGGTGAGGCAAGCTGAGCTTTCTTCTCTCCTGCCATCAAGCACTGGGGTATCCCCAGAAACACCAAGCATCTTTCAACGTCTGGGCTTATGTGCTTCTTCCAAGAGAAATGTAGACGTGGATGGAGACAAACCAATGACTATGTTCTTAATGCAGAATTAAAGGGGCAAATGTCAATGCAAATATTTATTCCTCTCAGTCCATACCAGGACTTCTCCAGAAATCCCAAAGCAAGCTGGAAAGAGCAGCCACCATCTCACCTGTGTTCCCAACCTTGCAGGGTGTGGTGTGGTGTGCGTGGGTCTTGCCCATTAACAAGACTGTCTGTTGCATTGTATAAAATATGAACAAAGCGCTTCTACAAAAGGAAACAAAAAAAACGAATTCAACCTTCAAAACCAGAGTAGATCTGAACCTTAAAATTAATAAAGATGCTTTTCCTGAAGAGCAAAGGTACTACTTTTTCTATTAGTACAGTTCACAATACTTTAAAAAAAAAAAAAAAAAAAAAAAAAAGTGTTCCTATTATAAGAATTTTAATATTATCTACTGCTTTTCTGCAGAGGTGAGGAACACATCCATGGGGTTGAGCTGAGGAGGAAGAAACTCACTGGAGAGGCACTCTGACCTTGCAGACTCCACAGCTGAAGAATTTGGAAAATGTTTGGCTGGGCACAGAGCAGCCCATCGGGAGCCAGGGCTGGGCATGGTGATGCTCTGCTGCAGCCACACAACGTTTTGCTGCCAATGGGACTGAGAATTGCACAGGATGCCTTCCAAATGGCAAACCACGCTAACGTGCAAACATGCATTAGCATAAACGCAGCACTGCCAAATACAGCTAGCTAAAAAGCACACACCTAAATGTGGAAGTGTGCATTAATCCCTCCCTTCTTTCCTTTCCGTTTCTTTCTTTCTTTTTTTTTTTTTTTGAATATGCAAGTGCCCACTTTGTGTTGTGATTCCATGTGGTTGCACTGCGATCTGCGAGCAGTCCTCGCTGCTGGTATGTCATGCTGTGGTTTCATGGGGCACCCTCAGGCAGAACGTCCCCACTGATGGACTCAGCTCTGACCTACGCATCACAAAAATAGAGGGCAACCGATTTTCTTGGCCACTCCAGACAGGTTTCACTGGTATTCCATGTTTGTTAAATGGAAACCAATTGAAATTGCACTTATTGGAGATTAATTAGGTGATAGATATATTGCACTTTGTATTTAATTAACCGTTTTGTGTTCAATAGAAGGAGGTCACTTTACTACTGTTGTGTACCGCTAACCCGCTGTGACAGTGAGGAAGAGAGAACTGCTGTATTATTTAACAGCCACACCAGCCTGCGATGTTTAAGAAACATCAATATGGAAGGTATAATCGCTTATTGTAATTTGAAGTTCTTTATACTCAGGTTCATCAGTCCACGTGCACTGGCAGTTGCTTGAAAGTATTGTCAGAATATCACCCAACTCTCTCCAGTTCCCTCAGCTGTGGGTGGCTTCTCTGCTATACCCATATGTGCACAGTTGCCTTCATTACACTGGTTTAGAAATTAATTTGGCAATTTGGTTGAGGAAGTCAGCGTTTTCCTCTATCCTCCTTTTAGGTGGGTCATGGCTAAGGCTGAGGTCTGAAAATCGGCACTTGAATTTTCACTGTAGTTTAAATTTCCTCCCCTAGACTGCTGGCATGCCACAGGAACATAGTTATTGCCCTACAGAAATTGCAGTTTTACTGGTCTGGCATCCTGTTGCTGGCAGTGATCTACAGCAGATGCTCCAGCAGCAGACAAAAGCATTGGGAGCCAAATGGCAACAGAATTCTGCGCAGGGTTGTCCTCATGCCCCAGGAGACACTGGAAGGGGACTGAGTGCCATATACTGCCTGCCTTTGTGCAGCAGTAGGGAGATCCCCATTCCAGGTGTGAAGGAAGGATGTGCAGGTGCTGACAGCTGAGCTCTGTGCCTTGCTGGATGCGGACATGCTGATGTAACTGTGTGTGTGTGGGATGATCGTATTGCTCTGAGAGCACCGGGGTTTTGAGAGGGTCACCAATATTTTAATGCATCGCTTGGACCCCCAGGGTTTGTATGGGCTTTATTCTGCACGGTGCTTTGGCAGACACAACTGAAGATAGCGCAGAGCCATGGGCTCTGGAATGGTGATATCTGTGGACTCAGGTTTGCTCGTCCCATGCACAGCATGCTTTAAGCTCTCTCTCGGCACCACAAGTGCCCATGACCCGTGCTCGCTGCTCACCGCGCTGAAGTGAGCAGCCATGTGTTTTTTTGGAAGCTGTCCTTCTCTGTCTCAATAGCTGTTTGTCATGTTCCCTTAATGCCACAGCTGTTTGGCTACGCCAGGTCATCTGCTTTTATTAGTTCCTTTTCTGCCACCCCCTGAAACTCACACCGGCTGCCCGAAGATCCTTATCTGCGTCCCAGAATAGCACTTCTCTCCCTTCTCTTCCCTCAGTGACTGGGAAGCCGCAGTGTTTTCCCCTTTTTCCCCAAATTCTGCTGGGCCATGAAGGCTGGCATCGCTGCCCTGACAGCGGGCATCCTGGGCAGCACGGCCATGCTGCTCTTCCTGCTCGCCTTTGGGACGGACTACTGGCTGCTGGCTGCGGACACGTGCGGGGTCATCGGGGATGGAAACAACACGCACCAGTCCAGAGAGGTAAATACACAACCAGGTTATTCTAGGGAAGAGAGAGCTTTTGTTTAAATAATTTGCACTACAACTGTTGAAAAGCGGCACAGCTACCTTCAATTTAGGTGTTGGCAGCTTCAGATCCATGCTTATTTAAAGTGACCTGTTAATGCAAAAAGTCATCCTGAGCTCCCTTGGATGCACCGTCTCTGGAGGTGCTCAGGGCCAGGTTGCATGGGCCTGATCCAATGGGGGGCAGCCAGGCCACGGCGCGGGGTTGGGACAGGATGGGCTTTGAGGTTCCTTCCAACTCAAGCCACTCTATGATTCTGTGAGTGTTTTGACACTAAAAATGTCTGGAAAACATGAAAACAGTGCTTCTGTATTTTGGCAGATATGAATGTAAGGGAATGAAAGGCAAAAATGTAAGAGCTTTACTTGTTGACAGCCTTTGCCTCGAAAAACAAAAGATATCTCCTGATATTTTCTATTAAAAGATTTCTCCACCTCATTTGTTCGTTTAAAAGTAGCTCATATTTTAAAGTGTAGAGCTTGGCAAGCATTTACATCTGAAGTGAGAGAGCTGTGTTACAGACAGCAAACAGGAGCGAGCAGCAGGTGCATGGCAGAGCCAGCAGTGGTTCCTGCCCATCTCACGTGGAGAGGTCTATTGTCAAATTAGGATTTGTGTAGGGTTTCTGTTAGCAAGAAAGATGATTTTGAACGTTTCCTGTTTTTATGACAGGTGTTCTAGTGCTTAGTACTCCTATCACACGTTCATAGATCCTTTTGAAAGTGTGCTGTGAGCTGAACTTGCTGCTGTCTGCCTGCCCAAGCAATCGAAGCCGGCTGCATTCCCGGAGCCATCCGCTCTTCTGAAATATTTCTGAGCTGATCAATGCGTGGCCGCAATTAAAAAATGACAGGAGGTTCCTTGTTGCGTGCAGACTTTTTGTTACTCCAAAGTTCAATCCAATTAGGTTTGATGTTTTCTGGTGTGGTGAGTCACACTGGGTAAGCATCATGATGCCAGCAAGAAATGCTGTCATTTCAGAATCCCATTGTCAATTGTGGGGCACTGTTTGAGTCATGTTTCCAAATGACTTTTTCCACTACTAATACTACAGGAAAAAAAAAAAAAAGAAATAGATAAAACTGGCTGGCAAAAGACAGCGTCTTTTTTGTCTGAAGCAGTGCAATAGAACCCCAAAGGAGACAGAGCCACAGCCAGAGTGCAGCTCTGGTTCCATGCTTAGGAAATGACAGTGTTAATTGTTTTGGATTTAGTTAGTGCTGCTGTCCTTTAGAGCGAAAGGCAGGGATGGCATGCAGCATGACACAGACACCTCAGAGGTGTCAGGAATGATCTTGGCTGTGTGTTTCTTTTCTGGTTGCTGAGGCATGATGATTCCAGTACCATCAGGAAGAAGTGGGCATTGCTCCTCTTCTTTTCTCTGAGCTGTTTTGTTTCTATTTCAGTTGCTATTTCTATGATTCTTAGTTTAGGCACAGGTGGGTTTTACCTTATCTGTCTTTTTCTAAACTGGCAAACTCTATCCTGATGGATAAGAAGGGTTGTTATCTGCCATGCAGCAGTTAAATGTGCACCAAGTCTGCAGAAAGCCAGTGGGGTCTGCATGACACCATTGCCATAGCTGGCATTTTATCCTGAAAGTAAAAGGAGAATCAGAACTCTGAAAGTGGTCATAACTTGATCTATGAGAACTTCAAGGTGAGGGAGCATCTCCCAATACCTCCTTGCTGAGTCCCATCTCCTTTCCCCAGTGCACTGCCATTCCTATGCAGAGCTTCTCCATCCTCTACAAAATAGAACTTTCTAACTGCTGTGTATTTTTAACCAAACTGAGCATGAGAAAGATAAAATGGATTTTGGATATGGCTTCAATAATTTGGTTTTCGGTAATTAGTTTACGACTCAGCACTGCAATATTCTCCCTTCTGGAACGACCCAGACCTTGCATTTGCAGTCTGGTCTGTGGTTTGCAGTTAGACCAAAAAAAGAGAACATTTGTCAGCATACTGAACTGGGCCATGAGAAAACTGGTGGGGTCAAAGAGTAATTCCCATCTGACATCAGGTTATCATAATCTCTGCAGGTTCAGCAGCAGGAGGAAAGCAGGAAACTTTTGGAATGGTGAGCAGGGGCTGGGTGTGAGTGACAGCACTGGGCTGCCTTCTGAGGTCAGGTGAGACCTTGCATGGATCCTGCAGAGTGCGATGGCATCTGACCCGTTGTGTTGGTCACCTCTGAAATAGCTTACCTGGATCCACCTGCTTCCAACTGGTTACAACAGCAATAGTGCTTCCTTAGGGAAATTATTTAAGAAGTGGTATCCTTGGCATACTTTTCCAGCTCTGGCAATCAGTGCTTTAATGTCTTTGGAGTGAGAAGATTGTCTGTGAGGATCTGCGGGATCCTTTTTATCAGGATAGCTGTGATTATAGAAATTATTTCAAGGGACTAAAATATTTGTTTTGTAGCTGTGATACGGAAGAAAATTGAGGGCAGCAGCTGTCCCTTGACTCCTCCAAAACCAAAACTTAAACAGTAGCAATGAACGCACAACCATCCGAGCTAAACACGCGTGCTGTGACCAACCTCACATCAGCTTTTCCTCCACTCCCCACAGGCAGACACACTGACAGAGGCTGGGACGCAGATCCTCACTTTCCATCACGAGGGCTTCTTCTGGCGGTGCTGGTTCTTCGGCGAGGGCCAGTCCACGACCATCTGGACCTTCTGGTACAGTGAGTACCATGCTGTGCCTCTTGGTGCTGCTGCCAGCCTGATGCCTCTGCACTGTGTTTTGTTCCACTGTTTTTTTTTTTTTCATTCTCATCATCCCTCCAAAAACAGCTAACTTGAGGCATTCTTCATGGGTTCTTTTTTTGGACTTGGATTTTGCTCTCACTGGGCACCATCACACAGGAACACCATGGTGCCAATTAAAATATCATCCATGAAGATCATCCACCAGCAGGGTTGACTTTGCTCCCATGCACCATGGTATTTGTATCCAGCTAAGGTGTGATGAATTTGAACCCATGCCCACCTTGTCCTTAGCACTGCTCTTCAATTCCTGTTTTTTACAGAAAATTGGTTTTACCCCCACCAGATCAGGCTGCCCAGGGCCCCATCCAACCATGAGACCCCTAGGTGCTCCCCTTTTGGTTGAGCATTCCCCCTCCTACTGTTTTCAAGCTAGAAGAAGTCAGGAAGCACCCAGGAGTGGGCAGGGGTAGCCCATACAGAACCAGAACCAAGTGGGTCTGTGCTCCTGGGCACACAAGACCTTTGCTTTCAGATCTTGCCTGTTTTGCTTTTTAAGGTCATAGAAGTCACAAACGTGAGGATTTCACTGCAAAGAAGCAGAGTGATGCAAAATCATTATTTTCTGAAAGCATCTTCATGTTTAAGAAAAAATCGAAGAAGGTGAAACATATTCAGAGGCAAAAAAAAAAAAAAAAAAAAAGGTCTGCCAAGGTTTTCAACATTGCAAAGGCCCTGACCCTCTGCTCGCTCTGCTCAGAGATGCTTACAGGCTCATGGAGCAGCAGGATAACCCTACTGAGGGATGTGGCTGAAAATAATGCAGGTTCCCACAATCTGTTTATTCCCCGGTGGTTAAAATTTCAGATGGTTTTGCTGTCCCTCTGACCCTGCCCTCTGTTTTCTGTAGAACTGTTACTGCCACTGTTCAGTAGAACAGCGCAGAGTTTTTCACACGGAATTTTTTTGATGGAAAAGGCTGGAGAGAGGGAGCTTGCTATCTAACATTGTACAGAAATACATTATACAATACAGTGTTACCTGAAGTAAAATGACTCCTTCTGATAGCTGGCAAATTTTTATTACTTCTTTAGGTATTTATTATAATAGGATTGATCATGGCAAATTAATTTGCTGCTCTCGTGGATGTAATAATTAATTCAATAGGTATTCCATAGTCAATTTAGCATGAACTAATGTCCACCTATTATAAAGTGTTCCTTTGAGCTGGGGAACATATTTAAATAAGTGTCCAATCATTAATTAATTCATTTAACATTCATTCTATTACTGTTAATCACGATAAGTCTCAGTGGTATTAATATTGATGGGGCACGTCCATTCTAATTGTGCTTTCCTTTCTTACCAACCAAAGAAAGGAAAGGTACCCTGGCTCTGGTACCCAAACCCCTTCTCCCCTTGCAGGTGGTTTCTGGAGCAAAATAGCAATGGGAATATTGATGTCAGTTTGCCATCTGAACAGCTTAACTGTAGTTTTGCACAAAATTAAAGCAAATATTTTGTTGTTCTTTTGCAGCCAGCCAAGCGCACCCCAAGCACTGCATGCACAGCTACCTGTTCCCCATGCCCATCGTCCTGGGGCCTTTCCCACATCCCTCCTATGACACGACTGCAGGTGGGTCACTTCCCAGCTCCATTTTCAAGCCGTGGGGCCGGGAAGCATGCTGTGTGCTATGTGTGTCCTATTGCCAATCCTCATGGCCAACCATGACCAGGGAAGCCCCTTGCAAAGTGGCCTCCAGTGGCTTCCTGGGAGAGCGCCAGCATTGATTTGTTGCGAGACAAAATAAACAAACACTGGAAAATCAGTTAAAGACCAAATTGTCAGAAGATCCATCGCACTTATTTTTAATACCTCGAATACGACACAGTTGGAAAGCTCTCCTTTCAACTGGTTCCCTTTTTATTTATGTTTCTCTGTATTTTCAGAGTTCTTTAATGAATCAGCTGCTGCTAGGAATTTTAATTTGCTAAATTGGTGGCAGCAGCTAGAATTAATTCCATGATCTTTTTGGAAATGAATTGATTTCTTTAAATAGTGTGCATCACTCTGCATTGCCTCTGGGGATCCGGGGCAGGCATACTGCACAAACAAACATCTTGACCTTTTCCTTAGCCTTTAGCAGTACCTTTTTTTTTTTATTTTTTATACTTTTTTTTTTTTTTTACGAGAAATTAATTAAAAAAAAATATTTGTCAGTAGGAGCATGTGAGGGAGAGCATCTCACTCCTTTGCTGTGTCGGATCCCTGCCTCCAGGAGCAAGCTGAAATGTGAAATAGATGGCAGAAAGAGAAGCCCATTGTGGGCTGTGTATGGCAGGCACATGGGCAAATGTTGGCTTATTTTTCTGCTTAGGAGGGAGTGGTACAACTCCAGTTTTTGAATGATCTCAATGGTAAACACAGGGATTTTTCTGTGCTAAATAAAGAGCCCTTCAGCCATCTGTCGCTGCCCATCAGACTGTGCTATGCAGCCTCTGCAGCTGCCTCCAAAATGCCTTTTGGGGACAGCCCCGGTGCTGAGGCTGCTGCCGTCCTGCTGCTGAACTGGTCTTGATGAGCTCATCCCTGGGGAGATGGGGACACGTTGGCACCAGATGAGGACGTGATGGCATGGACATGGGGACATGTCGGTATGGAGCTGGGGATATCTCAGCACCCTCATTCTGGGAATTGGGATCTGCACCAACCACACTGCAAAGTGTTGGGCAATGCGCATGGAGCAGGCTTTTCTGACATACACTTTTATTTTATTCCCAGCCAGTCCATACTCAGATGCAAATTATGACAAAACAGGAGGCCGTCCAAGAAGTGGGTCCTCCAGCTATTACCTGCGCCAGAGATAATTCTGCCTTATCTGCATCCTCTTGGGCTTCCCTGAGAGAAATGGGTGGCGGGAGGTTAAACATTAAAATGAATTCTGTGGTTTTGGAGAGTTCAAGATACTTATCTCTCCCTAAGTGGCTCTCCTGACAAAATGGCTTAAAATGAGCAAAGCGCATCTTCTCTGTGTCATTTTTCTTTCAAGTGTGAGTCATTTCAGCACTGCTGTTTGCTCATGCTCAGCTCAAATCTCTCTAACTTGAGCTTCTGAGCAACAAAAAGCAATGGGAGCAGTGGGAGGAGGTGGTCTGAGCAGACCGGACAAACTGGGGGAAATGGGAGAAGGTTTGGAGGGTTTGTACCTGAAGACCCCTCACTGCCCACACCTGGGGCTGTCCTCCCTTCTCACATACTCATACTCTCTGGTGTGGTCTCCTTGCAAATACTTTCAGCCCCATGTTCTCCTTCCAATCTCATGTTAGATCATGACACACAGCCCGAACTTGCATTCTGCACCCACACAACAACATACTGGCTACAGCCCTGCTCAACACCAGCAGCAGCTCCCCGCTGGAGAAACTGCTCATGACTCCAGTGCTCACCACCATTTTGTTGCCCAAGCTGGCATTGATGGAGGAGTTCCTCACAGCCTTCTAAAAGCCCAGCTGAGCTTCCCTTCCTTTTTCTCTGACTCTTTGGCTTTCATGCAGTGTACAGAGGCTTCTGGACGGCGTTCATCATACTGGCCGTTGCTGCTGGCCTGGTGGGAGGACTGCTGCTGGTGTGTGGTGTGCCCTTTGTCAGCGCCAGGTCCTACAAAGTGGGCGGCGGGTTCCTGATAGCCTCAGGTAAGCCAACAGTGGAAATCAGACACACGGGACAGAAAGGAGTGTGCGCAGCCTACTGCACGCAAAGGAATGGGGTGGTACCCAATGATGGGGAGGCACACAGTGATGAGTGGCAAACAGTGATGCGGTGGTCTCCAGGGATGCTGGGGAGGGATTGGTTTTCTGATGGCAGCAGTGGTGAATTGGAGTAAATGTTCCCCTTCCCCAAGTGGAAATAAATTTCTATGCTGAGCCAAGCTTTAGAAAGATAGTTCTTAGTCCTACAGAGCCTGGGAATTGGGAAACATAATACTTTTTTTTTCCTCTACAGCCTTGTACGATATCCAGAGCCTTTTTATTTGGGTAATGTTAGTAGTTGCATTTATCCCAGGCAGTGATCAGCCACACTCTTCTCTGCCAGTGTGCCTTCATATTTGAGCCTCTTCTGTCCTTGCTCTGCTAGAACCTGGAGAACCACCATGCAATGAAAGGCATACCCAGAAGTTCAAAACTGGAGGCCTGGTTTTTAATAAAATCTGTAAAGATAAAGCAGTGTCACAGCAGGAAATGAATTAAAAATAGGCATTGATTCATAATCCCCACTACCACTACAAATTAGTCCAGTGAATTATCACTTGGGCCTTTTCTGTATTTGAGAGGGAATAACTGGAGAAGTACTTGATTTATAACTGTGACTCAAACTTAGAAAAAAAGCTTTTTTTTTTTTTCCCACAATGCAAGCAGTTAAAGGTTGGAGCTCTGATGAGTGCTGCCAAGTGAATAACTTTGTAATGAACTCAAGCCTTCCTCTGAAATTAATTTTGCTTAATTATGGGCCCTGCACCAGATTCTGATTCCTCAAGCACTGAATGAATCAAACACAAGCTAGCATCTTTTCTGCCATTTTGGGCTTTTTGTGAGCTTAAGCTTTTTGGACTCAAAAACATTCATGAAAATGACTTAACAAGAGAAGTCCCAAAATGAAGTCTGGAAGAACTCCACTCACATTCCCCTTATTATCCCCTGATTTTCTTTTACGTTTTTTCCCCCCAGTTATTTAGCTTCCTTTCTGTTTCACAGGCTCTTTCCCATCTCCATCTTCTCCAGATGTACTAATAATTAACCACGTGATTCCACCTGAGATGGTTGTTAACATGAAGCTAGATTGCATCTATCTATTTGACTAAAAAATCTGGGAGGCACTAAATCAATGTGGCCCTACCTGCCTCTGCTAATTTGCTTTGCATTTTGTCCAATTTTCCATTTGCCTCTGGGTCCTCAGTTATTGAAGTAAGCCCAGCAAGCCTGTGGGTATCCGCTTATCTCTCTCTTATACAGTTTAATAAATGCTCAGTTGGGTTTAATTTTTTTTCTAAAGGTAAATTTTATGTGGTTGCACATGTAGAAATTTCATTTGGGAATGCAAGATATCTTGCTCTCAGACCTTCATTAGGTGCCAGTGCCTTCTGGTGATCAGTGCTGGCAATCTGATGTGTGCATGAGCTGAAGTGGCTGAGATAGGGCTCAAGCACCCAAACCCTCCCCAAGTTATGTTTTTGATCTAAACGAAAGCTGGAATTATGCAATATCTTTTCAGGAGAGTTCACTTAGGGTTTCAGCTGTTTCTTGTAATTTTTCTTTTTTGTTACTGAATTCAAGCTTATCAGTCGTGCTTGAAAATAATGTCCAAATGGATGCAGGATGCACCCCTCATTATTTCCTCATCACCCCTTCTAAAAACTGCCAGGTGACAATACACTTAACTAGCATCACAATGACATTAGGGAAATGCTGCATCGCATCTGTATTGAAATTCCTGGCTTGTATTCCCTCGTGCTCCTTGGTTTCCTTTGGGTGTTTTAGCAGCCATGCTTACAAGTGAGAATAGGCATCACCAGTGTTGGGGCAGCTCAGCTTCTGGAGGGAGGAATTGTCCTGCTGTGTCCTGGGTGATGCTAAGGAACACCAACAGGAGCTCATCACCAGCTCCCCTGGAAAGGCAGAAATACTGGTAAATGTGCAATCTATGCTTCTTCCAGCCACTGTGGTCCCCATGCTAGTTCTCCAGCACACCTGGCCCCAAATCATTTCAGCAAGTCTCAGGCCCTCTGTGAGCAGCAGAAACTGATGGATGGGAAAAGGCAGCTGAAGGTCATTCCTCCATTTCCTTATTATGAACATCCCAAAGAGGCAAACGAGTTGCTGATTGTCAAAGTTCATTTTTCTCACAATTAGGAGATTACATGCAAGTTCAGGAGCTTCCACAGAATAAGAGTTAAAGACTGAGTTCACTCACCTGTCCCTACACTTAAGGGCTATAAAGGTATCATAAGGATAAGAAGTGAGAGAAAGCAGAAGGCAGACTTCCATTCACCCACCAGTCGGAAGCAGCTCTCCCAGGCTCAGGTGGCTTGTAATTAGCCTTGGATGGAGGAGAGACTGAATGCCCCACTCCAGTCTGCCTGCAATTTGCTCCTTCCTGCAAGGTGCTACTGATCTCATCAGTCTGGAGACTGAGTTTTGCAGTTAATTTTTTCTGTACCTGCCTAATGAACGGAATCAAAGAGGCACGCTGGGTTTGCTGCTTGACAGAGTGGTACTGAAAAAAAAAGTTTCTTTCAGTTTGCTGACCAAGATTCCAAGAAATCACTTCCTGCATTTAGGAAGCTGTTTGGGGCAAGTGTGAAATGAAGATGTCTTTCTGCTACAGCTGCTACAAAAAGCATCCAAAGGTGGTGACTTTTGGTTTCCTTTTCTCACTGTGGAGACTGTATAAATCCCAGGGACTCCTTGCAACTCCGGAATGATTATTCTAGGAAAGAAATCACTTTGCGTTTTCTTGTCGTAATGTTCTGAATTTTGGTGCCAAGTCTGTGGCTGTGCCTTCACCTCCACCACCTGTTCAATGACAAAGCAGTGACATTCTTTGAAGATTCCCCAGGAGCTGCACAGGTGCAGGTAGGCTTTGGTCAGAAAATGAGCCTCAGATAATCTGGTTTGCCCAGGGATAAAACAGCAACAACAACAACAAAATGTTACTTAAAGAAAAACGGAAAATTCTGGAAAAAAAAATACCATACCCATGTCCTCTGTTCCTCTGGGACTACTTTTTTTTTTTTTTTTTATTTGTGTCTTTTATGGTAGGTATTATAAGTTAATGAAATATAAATTGATCTTTAAAAGAGCACTTTTCAAGGTTCAGTTGCTATCTAATTAATTTAATTTTAAATTACATCAGTAATAAAGGCTTAATTGCCTTCTTATCAATATATTGTATTTTGTAAAGAACGTGACTATTTAAGCATTCAATCATTTTCTTAAAGTAGAATAATTGGTATTTTAAACATACAACTATCATATTAAGTGTAAAATATTTATTTGTGCATGTAATTTCAAGTGGTATCACAATCTCAATGAACATGCAAATGTTACACCAGCTGCTGTTTAACTCCTAGCCTGCCTTTGCAGTGCCCATGAGGACTTGTCTATGGGAGGGAGAACGGTCTGAGATAGCAGAGTGTGGTGATGTGAAGTGTGTTGATACAGTTACACAAAATTTTTGATTTTTAAGATTCAATTCCCAGTCCTAGGGCATAGGATGCAGTTTAATAAATATGACAGCTCAGTATGAGTAGCTTCAACTTCTATACAACTGCTAGTGAGGATTGAGGAATGTTTTGGACCCTCATTCCAGGCTACAAGATGTGAAGCAGGATGTTATAGCAATATGTGCTTATATCACCATGAGCAGAAACACAGCCCAACACTGCTGTGTTTCCGTCAAGCAAAGTTTCACTAAGCTCCGTTCCTAAGCAGATAGATCAATGCCAAGCCATACCCACAGCCTTTGCTTAGCATGAAGGCTGGATTTTGTAGTGCATAAGCTGCTGGGGGGAATAATTAAATATAGTACAAGCTACCTTTAGTTTAAAAATTGCAAGGGGAGGAATGAAATCCCGCAGAAGCCAGAACGCGTCCCCAGAACTGTGCAATGACTTGTCAACTGTATTAATTTCAAACTGTTCACTTCTATTATGAACATACCATCATCTCTGACGTATTTCTTCCATATATGTATGCATGTGCGTGTCTGTCTATATGTTATATAGCACTGTTAAAAAATGGCAAGTTTCTAGCTGTGATGTGGCGAGATAAGATATTACTGATGTAGCTTCAGATCTTTCGTCACACCGTCACCATTTAATGTTAATATATGTTGACTTTTAAATGCATTATATATATTCTTTAACGCAGTGAAACAAGTAGCATTGCGACCACACTGGTTTTTTTGTTGTCTGCTTCATGCAAATCCTCATCACTGTGAGTTATGGGGTGTTGCAATCAGAATAGCAAAATGAGGTGCCCACCCTCCACGTGCTTTTCAGACATGAGAGGGTTGACCTCCAAGGCCTTCTATGGGGTACGTACAGAAATAAAAAGCACTGGGTCTGATGGGAGAGCTGCTGAGGGAGATTTTGACCTTGAAGCCTGGAGTGTCCTCAGTCTTTCACCACCTGGCTCATGGAGGTCTCACATGCTAACGCTGGGTCATAAAAAGACTCCATGGCCTCTGGAATGAGCTGTTTGACTTTGGTATTGAGTTGCTCACCTGAGGCTGATGTATCGTGGCCATTAGGACATGAAGGGGCACTTCTGTGAGCTGGGGCAACCAGCCAAGGCCTGTGGGGCACTGCTTGCAGTAGGTTCAGCAACAGATAGCGCTTGCCACCAGTAGGACCAGTCCACAGGTCTTGTATTTCTGCTGAAAAAAGGATCTGATATTTGAAAGAGCATCTCTTTCTTCTCTTTTCCTCTTTTCCTGCCTCCTTTGTCAGGGAAAACCTGACAAATGTCACCATTCTGGAACACTAGCCTGAAAAAATAAATGGGAACCTGTTGCCATTTTTTCTCACTTTTAACCTTTCTGAATTTCATACACTGGCTGTAATTGGAGAATAACCACCTTTGTCTCTCTTCTCAGGAAGTTTATTTCTCCTGCTCATTTTCCTCTTTGTGCTGTGGAAGGAGTTTGTGGCCGATTTCCAGAAGTACATCCTCCTGGAGAGGAGCGAGGTGTGCCTGCAGGAGGCTCCCGTACACGTGTTATATGGCTGGTCCTTCTTCCTTGCTGCCGCCGGCGTGCCCCTGTCGCTGCTCTCTGGGCTCCTCTTCTTCCTGATCGGCAGAGAAATGACAGAGTCACTTGAGTAAGAAAAGGTGCTGAGAAACTCTTGGAGAAAACTGTTGATGCTCCTTGTAATGAAACATACACAAGTTTTGAAGATTATGTCCTTTTTGTAGCTGTATCTATTGGCGTAGGTGCGTGATTGAAGTAAGTGTTATGTGGAGGCAGGGTGGAGCACTTAGCATGCAAACACTCTCAGTCCTGTAGGCATCTCTCTGGACTGTGCAGCAGTTTCAGGTGGGAGGACCAGCCTCCGCTGTGGCCAGCAGTCACCATGGCTCGGCACTGCCAGCGCGGCCCATCCGTGTTCAGCAGCATTCCCAGCATCCTCGTTTCCTCTAAGAGGTAATCGAATGTGGCTGTGGGGGTGTATGCTCTGACATCTTTTCTGAGAAGCAATTAAGGATGATTTTTTTTTAGCTAGCTCTAATTGACGTCAAAGGACAACCGTTTTAATGGAATGTCTGGAAACATGAGAGTTTTTTTCATTAAAAGCCTTGATTCTGAAGATACAAATGTACCTGTGCCTAACCTAACTCTTAATAATGACTAAACTAATTTCTGTGGTATGCAACATGAGATGTATTAATTAGTATTTCTTTAAAGCGCTGTGCTACAATGCATTTAAGATTTTGCCTGAACAGAGAGCTGTGGAAATTTGCAATCCAAAACTGAAAATTAGAGCTGGGGGAAAGAAAACGGGAACAATGATGCTATGATTTTTTTGTTTGTTTGTTTGTTTTTATGGTAGAGTTTGTCAGCCAGCTCACCATGGGACCCTGTTGTATTCCACCTAGCATAAGAGCCAGCTCTGAAAAGACTTATTATATACAATTTATATATTTTTTAATTCTTGCAATTGCTCAAGTGTACATTGTCTGACAGGTTAAAGTGGTCCCACTAAGAGTAATGCATACTAATGCTATGTAAAACGATCTAAATTCAGGAGGTGATGTCATTTATTCTGTGTATGTGAAGGCTTGTAGACACTTGAGAAATGACAAAGAGTTGATCTTGTGTTTTTCAGTCAAGATCTTGCTATTTTGAAGTAGTTTGTTGGGCCCTTGCTTGCTGAATTCATCTGCATAAATTTTAAATTAAACCTACTAAAAATACATGCTTTTCTCATGGATGTCAAAGTTTATGGTAAACATATTTCCAAAGCTTTATGTCATACTACTGACTCAGTATATTTAATTAATAATGTAATGTAAACCTCTTCTAGAAAGCAGCAAAGACTCTTGGCAGTATAAAAATGTTTGTTAATGCTCTTCCTAAAATATTATTCAAGTCTGGCGTTTCTTTCCTTTTGGAGTTCTAATTGCTCTTTTACAAGACTCATTGCATACACAGAGTGAGAAATTGTAGTTCCCACATGTAAAGATTAGTTCTTTCGTATGAATAGCAAGCTTGTTCTATGGTTCTTAAGTAAAACTCACACTAATTTCCATTAAGGGGAATTTCGTTTGAGTAGAATTGTTATATACAGGTGAAAATCGAGCATTTTTCCCCAGTGAGTAGATGCTTCATGACATTACAAACACACTGATACTTCAGTGTTTTAGCTGGCATTTTTAAACTTTTTTTTTCTTTTTTTTTTTTTTTTAATTTCTCTCTCTTTGGGTTATGCCTGTGCCCCATCAGTTCCTCAAGTGATAATTTCTCACTATAAATTCTCTTTGAATAATTTTTGTCATGTAATTATCTATTCGGTGTAGAGATGAACACTTACGGTCACAAAGAATATAAGTATATAATCCAGGAGCAGAAGAGGTCAAGATTTACAGTCACTTGCCTTTCACTGATCCCATAAAACAATCCAAGCATGCAGAAATGATGATCCCATAAGAGACACCAGGGCAGAAGTATGAGAATGCAGCAAGAAATCCATCAGACTTATTGATATCTGTGAAGCTGAGGATCCCTGAAGTTGTGAATACAGAAGTGAGTTTTATATTACAGAATGAAATATTTATTAACTTTCTCCATCTGTTCTTTAAAAAATTTAGTTTAATGTCATCAAGGCATTTATGGAATACATTTAGCTTAATTATGCATTCATGCCTTAGGGAGTAAACCATCCCTGGAGACTTGCTCCTTCTGGATCAGCTCTAGAACAAGCAATAGTTTAAAACTCAATCATTCTTTTCAAAATCATGACTTTGAATCATTCTTGAATGGAAGATGTTGGGTTTTTTTTTGGTTGTTTAAACTCTAATATTGAGCAGATTCTAATAATCACAACAATAAGGATATAGCAAATGACATTATACACTGGCACAATTAAATTAACTAGCACCTGTAATAAAATGCAACATCTGTAGTCAGCACAAGATTGAACACATCATATTGGTGGACTAAAAGGTCTTTTGGCCTCGTTTTTCTTGTGGCAAGTATGCCTTATACAGACAAAATTTTGTGTGGGAATCATTATTTCTGGAGGAGAAGCTTAAAAAAAATAAGTTGATGGAGTCAGCAGCAGGGTTTGAAATTGTGGAAACCAGGGCCTCTTTCATCTGTTGCATGTAAAGAAGTCTGATGAAAGGATATTATAGAGTACTGACAAGGACCTAATTCTGATCCAAGTTTTGTCATTATAAATCATGAGTAATTCCAGAGACTGCAGTAGACTCTTATCACTGTTAAACATCTGTAAGTCAGATCAGTACTGAGACTAATAAATACATTCAAAAATGCATAATTAAAACAGTGATTTCACATCACTGATGAATTTTAGTCAAGGATTTCTTCAAGGATGCTTTTCTCACATTAGCATTTGACGTTAGTAAGCAATGAATTATTCCATTTTTTCTTCCCAACATCTGGGACACTTCCTGCTTTATTTGCTACTTGCTGAGCACTCTGCAGGAAATATTAATGAATCTTGGGTGTTAAAGTATAGGCCTTGTGGATCACACACACAGGCAGTGTTACACAGTAGACTCTATGTGCCTTGAAATTAAGAGACTTGATTTTGGTGAAGTAAGATAATGGGAGATCTGTCAAATAGGTGGGAGAGAGACATGGGGAGTTGGGATGCTACCCAAAGATGAATTCTCTGCAGCTCCCTCATTCAAATTGTTCCTCTGCATCACTTTCTCCCAGGGGAGGCAAAAAAAATAACGATAACAGAATTTTCCTTGGTCAGATCCACACTTTTACTGGTGACTGAGAAAACTAGCAACCAGGAATTCCTTAAGGTAAGGGGCTAGGTGAGGGGCAACAACCTCAAGAAAGGATGGACCAAATCTCCCCAGCATGACAGTAACACTGCTGTGCTCTGCAGCTTTCTGTCACCACTGGCAGACTGGGATTGTGTCATCTTTCTTGACAAATCTTGTGGTAAAACTCCACAGGTCTGCAGCTCTTTGGAGCAACCTGCAAAGATCTGGTTTGAGCAGTAGAGGCAGGAGATCTTCCTTTGATGTTCCACATCTGGCCAGGAAGGTGAGAGTAGTGTCTCTACTTCAGAAAACAGCTGTTGCCTTCTTTGTGCAAACAGGTATGAACAGAGAGTCTCCATTCTGAGAGCGAAGGTGTGAGCCCAACTATGAGCTGGGGCCCATCACAGACAATGCCAAGGTGCATCCTTCCTTTCCCTCCCTGCCTTCTCCAACTGCCAGGGTTGGGGTTTGTGGGCTCAGGAGGGGACATGATGCAGGATGAGACCAATGGAACAACTGACACCCAAGCAGAAGGCTGAGGATAGGCCTTCATTGTGCTTGTGACATGTCTGTAAGCACCAGCTCATATCAGGAGATGGTTTTTCTCTTTAGTAACGATGGAGATTGAGGATATTAACTGTAAGATAACCAAAATGCACTTAGGTGTATAATTTCACTCTGGAATGGCTTGCTTTCACCCAGCAGGACTTACAAAACTTTCTACTTGTTCTGCATGCCCAGAAGAATCCAACAGGGAGTGCTTTCACCTTAGTTATGCATACTTCCAACACTTTGATGGATGCATGTACGTCTGCAGAGAGAATGTCTCTGTACGCTCTGCCCCTTGTGTCAACTAGGCATCACCAGTGCTCGGGGTCCCAACCTTGCAGCCAGCCCATGGCACACAAGGGAAGAATGAGGTGCTCAGGCTTTACCTTCCTCTGGATGGGGATGTAACAGGAGGAAGTTCCCACAGACTCTTCACAGAATCAGAATCACAGAATCACCCGGGTTGGAAGGGACCCCAAGGATCATGTAGTTCCAACCCCCCTGCCTAGCAGGGCCACCAAACATACACATTCAGATCAGGTTGCCCAGGACCCCGTCCAACCTGGCCTTAAACACGTCCAAGGACGGGGCATCCACAACCTCCCTGGGCAGCCCGTTCCAGGGCCTAACCACTCTCCTAGTAAAGAACTTCCCCCTAACATCCAACCTAAATCTTCCCTCCTTCAACTTAAAACCATTTCCCCTAGTCCTGCTGTTATCAGCCCTTTTGAAGAGTTTACTCCCCTCCTGGGTGTAGGTTCCCTTCAGGTATTGATAGGCTGCAATGAGGTCACCCCGCAGCCTTCTCTTCTCCAGGCTGAACAAGCCCAACTCCCTCAGCCTGTCCCCATAGGGGAGGTGCTCCAGCCCCCTGATCATCTTAGTCGCCCTCCTCTGGACCCTTTCCAAAATCTCAATGTCTTTCTTGTACTGAGGGCTCCACACCTGGACACAGTACTCCAGATGGGGCCTCACAAGAGCCGAGTAGAGAGGGACAATCACCTCCCTGTCCCTGCTGGCCACCCCTCTCCTGATGGAGCCCAGGATCCCATTTGCCTTTCGAGCTGCCAGAGCGCACTGCTGGCTCATATTCAGTCTTTCGTCCATCAGGACCCCCAGGTCCTTCTCTGCCGAGCTGCTCTCAAGGACTGCTCCTCCCAGCCTGTACAGGTGCCTGGGGTTCTTCTGGCCCAAATGCAAAACCTTGCACTTTGCCGTGTTGAACCTCATCAGGTTCACCCGAGCCCAGCCCTCCAGCCTGTCGAGGTCCCTCTGAATGGCATCCCTTCCTTCCACCGTATCAACCGCACCACTCAGCTTGGTGTCGTCAGCAAACTTGCTGAGGGTGCACTCAATTCCCTCATCGATGTCATTAATAAAGATGTTAAAGAGCACCGGTCCCAAGACAGACCCTTGGGGGACACCACTTTTTACCGGCCTCCACCTGGACATAGAGCCATTGACCACCACCCTCTGTCTGCAGCCTTTCAACCAATTGCTTATCCATAGGGTCGTCCACCCATCAAATCCACTTCCCTCCAATTTGGAGATGAGGATGTGGTGGGGGACCATGTCAAAGGCCTTGCTCAGGTCCAGGTAAATGACATCGGTCGTCTTCCCTTCGTCCACCAATGCCGTCACTCCATCATAGAAGGCCACAAGATTAGTTAGGCATGAGGACTCTTCCCTGTCAGCTCCTGCTTGGCAGCACAGCTCTTATCATGCTGAGTCAGTGTGTTTGGAGGCACCTCAGCACTTACGCTGAGTGCTGCCTGGGAATGAGAGGGCACAGATGTGGTGCGGCAAATGAAGGCAGGAACCAAATTAAAATAAACAAGAAAACACAAGCTAGCTCCATGCTTGGTGTGCAGGGCTGTACGCTGTACGTTACCACAGGATTAAGTTGTATCAGCCGGAGTACATTTTACAAGAGTGCACAGCACCTCAATCCTATAATCAATAAGCTGTACATGCTGCAGCACAAAGAGCTCTTATCTGGAATACCACTTTGAATTTAGTGAATTTATTTAATCCCTGATGCCTGCAGAGCATCAGTCCTCTCTTCTGGGTTAATTTATTTATTCCGGTGAACTATTTTTAGTCTTTCAAGTACTTGACATTTGAGAAGTACATTTTTCTCCCCTACTTCCTTAAAAAAACATCTGAATTGAAAAAAATACTTCACCTACAGAAATGCATTTGTTTCCTCATTCACTTCACCACTCTTTCTCTTGGGACACAGAGCCCTGTCACCATGCACTGAAAGGATCAGAGAAGGCTCCTTGCAACCATGCTTGGCTCCACGTCAATGCTGAGTATTCAGAGGATCTTCTTTCTTCCTTCTCATCTCTTTCCCATGAATACTCTCCACCTCTTCAAAACAATTATCTATTTTTAAGGTGTATCGAAGGTGCTGCATTTATCTCCAGAGCTGTAATGAGTGCATGTGATGCTCTCATCTTCTAGAACTTCATATTTCTTAGTCGCACAAACTCTTTCCTGAATCCAAAAGATGCTATGTATGATGGTACAATACTGATTGTTATCAGAGCTGTAAAGGATGCACTCTAATTAACCCAAATGATAGATACAGAACATTTGGTTATGCAAGAGTAGACCGAAGTTTGATAAGCGTTAGGGTCTGCAAAAAAGAAAAAATATTCTTGCGCGACATTCACTGATTAGGTTAATGATGGCTTCATAAAAGCAAGAAAATAAATAAATAAACAAATAAAAGAGCAAGCGATGAATGCCGAGAAGAAAAACAGTCTGTTGGAGGAGTCATTCACCAGAGCACACGGCACTGTTGCTCTGATGGCATGCAATGAGATGGTTGAGGAGCTGGAGCTGAAACCTTGTCCTTTACAGGCTGGAATGATCGTGGTGTGTGGTGAATAAATGGTGTTGATTCTGAAATAGAGGCATCAATTTTGAATCTCTCCTTGAAAAAAAATAATAAATAAACCGTAGGGAAATTTATCAATTTAGACAAATCAACCACTGAATTAGCGCCAGTGATTGCTGAGGTGGGTCCTTCGCTCACATACAACCATATATCAGATCATCTCTCACACACAGTCTGCCTGCCAAGCCACACACAGCGCTCCTAGGATCAAGGTCATTACCAAGTGAGCCCAGTAATTAGCTCCAAAAACCAACCATTAATCACATTTATTGCATTGTTCTTGCATCACTTCCCAACAGCATTCTTTCCACTAAAAGTAAATCCCAATGCTGGAAGAAATGTTTCAGTCTCTTGCTCTTATAAACAATAAATTCATCTATAAAATGAGCACCAAAGAAGCACTTTTCATGCTTTCATCTGCAGCTGTCTGGCTTCACTTACCCAATTTACACAATTTGGGGTGGGAAGGACCCATCCTACCATGACCGCTGGGGGTTTTTCCTGCAGTTTGGTTCTGCAGGTCAGGAACTCTTCCACAACATTCTCTGTGCATTGTAAGAATCGGTTATGCTAACACAAACACCCACACTTTACACATTAAATATATATAAAATGACTGCCTTTCTCCACAGAGAGCCTTGCCTGTGCCACAGCCACTTCAAAGGCTTCAAAGCAGAGGTGCCTGCAGCGAGGGCTGCAGCTGGGAGCAGGAATGCTGCTTTCAGCTGACACCAGAGCTTTCAGGATCTTAGGGCATGACGCATTTTTTCATTCATTTTAAATTAATTTAATTGGGAAAAAAAGATTTGAAGGAGAAATAGGGGACTGGGTGCCGGGCAGCAGCTCCAGCGATTCTTGTTGGTGCCACTCCTCCATGTTAA